CTTGTTTGATACAGTATTTCTCCTACATGCTCACTGCATAAGGGAATAAGAGGGACGGAGACTGGGAATGGGGGAGTTGAGGGAGGGGGCTTCGATCAGGATATATAATGAATAAATTGTGAAGGAAAAAAATCTACCTTTTTAATATTGTTTTTACACAAAACTCTGGTTGAGACCATATGAAGCTTAATCTAAGCAAGATAGACGTGGCAAGTTTGTATATTCTGATAAGGCTCTGTATTGTGACTTATGATTTAGGTCACTAACATCATCATTTATTGAAGAAGACAACAAAATTGCCTATTTTTTCTGTTATCTGAGACTAATTTCTTGTCTGTGTGGAAGCTCACAGACAAGAGCTCTTCATCTCTTCTATGGAAAATGTATGGAAACACATGAACTGATATTAAATTGTTCTTATCACTGTCGCTTATTTATGTGCATGATTTGTGTATGATTATGCCACAGGATACCTTTGGAGGTCAGCGGACCATTTGTATGGTTGATTCTTTCCCTTCATCTTTATGTTGGCTCCAGGGAGGGGACTCAGGCTTCTGGGGTACATGCTTTTGACTGCTAAGCCATCCCACTGCCCCCATGAACTGGATTTTGAATGCTTCACAGTTTCTAGTTAGGAGGCAATGTCTTACATTTCAGTCATGAGTTAACAACTAAGCATTAGCCAAGCCACCCGATTCATTTAATGCAAAGTGAGGCTTAGTCAGTTTAACAATATCGAACACTATCATTATTTTGATTTAACATTCTGACTAGCTTTAGGAAATACATATTAATTTGGGGTTCTAAGGAGTTCCTGGCACAAACTGTAGCATGAATGTTGCTCCGTAAATTTTCATAAGCCATCACCCAGACGAAACATGTTGGGGTCCTGATATCTAAATTATGCAAGAAGGGAACACGGCAAAATAGAAAAGTGTCCAGTTATACCCAGTTCTTCCAGCTTCAAGAGGAAAATGGTCACACGTTTGCCACTGCAGCAGCAACTACATGATTTTAGAATTAAGACACTTACTGTAGAGTACCAGTCTGTATTGTTGGTATATTTTTGTGGAATGTATATAATTTACCCTTGCTCATTCAAATGCTGATTTCTCCATCTCACCATCTGGCTTCAATCAGAACACTGCATTGTGATGCTTATCCTAAGCTTCACCTGTCTCAAGTTTGTGTGAACATGCCATCATTTGTTCTCTGTGATGTCAATAAAACAACCAGCAAGTGCTGTGCAATAGGGGAGAACAGTGTGGGACATCCTGGTCCAGAGGGGGAGGAGAAGGAAGCAAGAGAGTAGGAGCAGAGGTCAGCAGGAGAGAACTTGGAACCTTGAGGAGAGATGACCCAAACCTAAGATATGACTAAAAGCAAGTATAATGGGTGAAATCTGAATGGTAGGAAACTATGCGGGCTTGGAGGTGTAGGATGGAATAACTATTGCCCAACATTGTGCTCTGGATTAATTAAATAAATACTAGTCTCTGCGTGGTGATTTGGGTATACAGCTGGTTTAGGAATAACCACTGATTAACTAAAGATAAATAAATAATAAATATTAATAACCCACAACACTGTATTTTAAGGCAAGTTAATGAACAATATTTTTCAGTAGAGCTCATTCTTTTAACATTAAGAATTAGAAATTGGACTTGGAAGGGGCATAGGAGGAGAGGAGGAAGGTAAGATGGGATCGGAAGGAAATGAAGGAGGGGGCTACAGCTGGGATACAAAGTGAATAAACTGTAATTAATATAAAAATAAAATTTAATTAAAAATAATTAGAAATTGGCAATGTTTAATTCAATATTTTTACTGACTAAACATTACAGATATGAAATTGGAAATATTCATTTGACGTTTCAGTGACTATTCAGTCTGCTTGTTTCAGTGATACTGCAGCATCTGAACAGAGAACAACAGGGTAGACATTCTACCCAAGATAATAATAATTACTTCTTCTTCAGCAACTGATCTAGATGCAGAAACAGCGTTGATTTCTAACATCCCACAGCCTTCAGATATTTCATAAGGGGTTACTTACTCTCGTACTTGCAGTTTTCATGACTGTCGCCTCTGGGCAGAGAGCAGGTTTAATAATTATACCTAACATAACAAGGGGAAGACGAAAAGTTCCTACGATGAAAAGACACAGTTTTACAGAGGAACAAGATGTCAGCAGAGTGTCAGAGTCCTAGCCTACACCAGTCCTCTGTATTGTTCTAGAATTCATCTCTCTTATCTGAATCTTCACTTCTGCTGCCTATATATATTAATGTCCAACTATGCTATCATCGGAACTGTAATACCAAGTATCAGAAGAAATATGGACAATTGAAGTTATATATATATATATATACATATATATATATATAAATTTTATTTTTCTCATTAGTTACATTTTGTTAATTCTGTATCCCTCATTCCCTCCCCAGTCCCACCCTCCGTCCCTCATCTCCTCCCTGCCCCTTTCCAAGTCCACTGATAGGGGAGGACCTCCTCCCCTTTCATATGACTCCGTTTTGTCCGGTATTTTCAGGACTAGCTGCAAAGTCCTCCTCCATGGCATAACAGTACTGCTATTTTTTTAAATAGCAATTTGTTTTAGCTCTTTTGTGGTTCTGGTTATAGTTAAAGTAGACAGATACTCTTCTTTGCCTGGAGCTAAGCAAGGCAAGAAGAAAAACAAAATCAGTCAAAAGGACTGTCACAATGGTGTAGGATACAAAAAGTATTGGGAGAGAGGTCCAAAACCACAGCCCTCAAGGCCATTCATGTTCCAGCAGGTAAACCAAAGAGATTTCTATGTATGTATGTATGAATGTATGTATGTATGTATATATATATATATATATGTATGTATGTATGTATGTCTCATGTATCATGTATCATCTATATGCATCATTTATCTATCATCTATCTATGATCTATCTATCTATCTATCTATCTATCTATCTATCTATCTATCTATGTATCTATCATCTATCTATCTCCCTATATAAGATCTAAGTGTAATAAATACCTATGAAAGAAATAAATAGGAAAAGAGGGTAAGGACGATAAAGCAATATGTTGAAGAGAATTATCAATTATGAACCTGTCACAACAGCATTGCATGATAGAAGGCAACCAAGAAAATTTCTTTAGATTTGTAGTTAAAGAAGTTTCTACACATGTAAGGTTTGAGACGATGTTAAAGGAGAAAGGAATAGCCACGTTAATATTTTTTAAGAAGAACTGTCAAAGGCTCTTCAGTTAGCAGTGAGCTTGCATTTTGCATAAACAAAACTTTAAAAAATGTAAGAAAACAAGGATGAGACAAATGGATTATAGAGAGGAAACTACAGAAATGGCAGGGGTGGTCGGTCTGGAGTCCATATTTGTATGGTGCACTTGGATCACAAAAGTGGCCTGGGGCTGCATTTACCTTGCGTTATTAGAGTTATGAAGTAGCAACAAAAATAATTTTGTTGTTGGGGCCACAACAGCATGAAGAACTGCATTGAAGGATTGCAGTATTAGGAAATTGAGAACCACTGTGCTAAATGATGAAAATACAATATTTGCCCAGAAACAAATTCTCAACCATGTCAAGCACTTATATTTCCGTGGATAAAATAGAAATGAAGTGATTAAAATATTTAAGAAAGTGGTGCACATCATTTGTATTTACTATAAAATAGGGATAACTTACCTGCATTCACCGTTCAATATATATCTATCAAAGATATGTTAAAAGTAACATCATATAGCTTGAGGGTGAGACCTGGCCTTGCTATACATACATTCCTCTGGTCTGTTCTTAACTAAGTAGACTAAGAGCCTTACTCAGCCTAGCACTAAATATTACCTCAGAAAACCACAGGAAGAAAGAATAGAGGATCAACAATATTAAAAATGAGATCTATTTAAGAAGGTTTCCAGATGAGACTCAAATAGTTTCTGTGTACATGCAGTTCAGAAATAGTCAACTTCGTGGGTCATTAGCCTATACTTATGTCTTGACAAAGATTAATGTTTGGAGCCAACATGTAACTAAAAAAATGTGGCCAGATCTTAAGACTTATACAGTTAGGAAATTCTCTGATATTTTTCCTTTCCAATTTTCAATACCTCTACTAATCAGTGAATCTTTTCTGCCACATTCTTTGAAGTTGTTTTTGCTGAGGATTCAAGTCTCTGGTGTTCTCATTTACAGATTAATTTCAGCTGAGGATTTTTCCAGGAGCAACAAGGGAACTTTACTCAGCATTCTCTCAGCATATGAGCTATAAGCCTCAGGACATGATTCCTGGTAAAGGACCCCTCCCTAGGATGCTCCATTGTCAACCCCAGGACCTCAGGCACTTAGCAAACAACTCTATTCAATATACAGCTAAATTTGCTACCTTATTAAACAGGCATCCTCTATTATTCTTATATTGTACAGTGAGTTTATATTTCTAACTTTCAAGGTTAACATTTATCTGCCTTTATTATTATTGTTTCATACTATATTTTATATCAGCCAGCACCTGAGATACTGTCACATAAAAAGCATTTGTTACTTTAAAATACTACCATTTCCTTACTATTAGTTGTACATATTCAATCTCAACTGTTTTAAACTATACTTTTTGTATTAGTTATAAATTATATATAATTGTAAATTATATAATATATAATAATATAATTCTAAATTATAATTATCAAAATACATGTCATGGGCTTAAACAGTGAGAAGTTACATAAATAATGTATTTTTGCTCATCTGTTTATTAATATTATTATTATTATTGGCTGTCGACTGATGTTTATTAGACAACAGGTTGGTGATGAATACTTTTGTCAGAATAGTAAGAAATGCCAACATGCCAGGTCTTATAACTGCCTTGTGTGTCCTATTTATATAAGCTTTGTATCATATCTGTACATAGATAACTAGCGGAGATCAAAGATACAAGTTAAAACAGAAACTGATAAGAAACTGTGAACTCAAAGCTACTTACAGGCACCAGGAATTTTTTAATCTCTTCCAAGGCATGACTCATCCGTGAATAAGCTTCCCCGGGAGGAGCAAACACTTCAATTAGTACATGCAGCTCATCGCTCAGATGGGCATACTTGGCCTCCCCGCTCTTCCTCAGCTCTTCTTCCTGTGAAGACGTTATATTTAGAAATATGGATCCACTTATTTTGCCTTGATTTAGCATTTCCTGAGAATATGACAAAGGGCCACAATCTAAGCAAATTTTCCAAAAGTAGAAAGAAACTCTCTGAGTAACAAAAAAAATCTGCTGCAATACAGTTAGCAATTTTCAAATCATTCTTCAAAGTTGGATTTTTACAAGAACCTGCCATAATCATCTTCCACAACACACTTTAATCAGAGAGATGAAATGCTAATCTTGTGAAGGAAAGGCACTTAAGTGTTGTTCATTCTTCTACATATCACTACATTTTTGAAGGACAGGGTTCTTTCTGATATAGCACTTTTCAAATAATAGGTAGATTATCATTGAGTTGTGAAGGAAAAGCAGACTTTTAATATTTGTAGCAGGCTACATAAAATAATGTTGGAAACAAGGGCTTGTTTTAGCCAACTCCTCTATGCCAAGATTATTGTAGAGCAAAAACCAAAACCAAACCAAACCAAACCAAACCAAACCAAACCAAACCAAACCAAACCAAACCAAAACTAACCAAACAAAGCCATATTTTTAGAATTTCAAGTGACGCAAATTTTGCTTAAGAAAGAGAATGGGCTAGGAAGAACTTTTTGAAACAGTGACATCCATAGTCATCAAGGAAACAAAAATTAGAACTACTTTAAAATGCTCTCTTACCCCAGTCAGAATGGCCATCTTTGTGAACACAAATGACAAAACTGCATGTGTGGATGTGAGCAAATTGGTACATAGTACGCTGTTGGTGGGAGTGGAAACTAGTGAAGGCACTTCGGAAACCTCCCTCAAGTTTCTCAAAAACAAGAAGTGCCATATGGCCCCACACTCTAGCGCGTGCACTCAAAGGACTTTATATCATTACAGAGACACTTGCACGTCCACGTTCACTGCTGCTCTTTTTGCACTGGCTAGGAAATGCATTCAACACAGATGTTTACAAACAGATAAAAGGGTAATCAAAAATATAGTATATACGTACAATGCATATATATTACTCAGCTCTCTACTGAAAACAGAGCCAAATTTTCAGGCAAATAGAACGGGAAAAGGCTCTAATATGTGAGGCTGAGAAGGACAAATGCCACAGGTTCTTTCTCATATGTGGATCCTTACTTCACATCCTTTGTTTTGCATGTTTAACCTGCAGCACAAGCATGAGCCAGAGAACTTTTAGGGAAAAGGCTATCGGCAGGAGCACTATGTGCAGGGAAGGGAATAGTAGATTATAGGTAAAGGAAAATTGAAGACATGAATATTGAGGGAGGAAACAGTCTTAAGCTGGGAGAAGTATAGCAGTTTGGGGAAGCCAAGAGGAAAGGAGAATACATGTAATAAGAAAGAAGGGAGATACGTGCAATTAAATGAAAAAGTGGGGTTGAGTTGGAGCAAGAATGGAGAAGGAGTTCTTGTTTGGGATAATCTATACTAAGGATGTATAAAAAGTTTTATGGAAACACACTGTTTAATAAAGTGATTCCAAAATATGACTTACACAATAAATTCAGTGACTGGAGGGATAGCCCCGCGGTCAATACATATATCCAACAAAACAAAACAAAACAAAACAAACAAACAAACAAAACAATTATAAGAGTTCAGAAGCACCCTGCAGGGATGGACAATGAAGTTCCAAGAATGCATGGATCATTCTTATAAGATTTGTTTTTTTCTTTTATATTTATGAATGTTTGGTCTGAACATGTATGTACAGCAAGTACGTGTCTGCTGCCCATGGAGGTGAGTAAAGGGAGTATCAGATACCCGGAACTAGAGAAACTGATACTTGTGAGCCACTGTGTGAGTGCTGGGCGGTGAACCCAGGTCCTCTAGGAGAGCAGAAAGTGCTCTGAACTGCTAAGCCATCTCTCCAATCCCAGGACATGAGTTATTTATCAAAAACAGCAACGTAATGCATGGGATGCTTTCACGTGATCATGATAGGAAGTAGAAGTGTGTTCTCCTCAATTCTATTACAGATGCTGCTGTTGCAGGAATTTTCTCCTTTTGGATTCTACAGTACCCTAATGCAGAATCCAAAATCACCACAAACATGAGATAAGACTTCTGACTAATGAAGAGCATACTTGCATAAATGGCTTACAGACAACCAAGCTCCATATTTTCAGGTGACATAGAGCGGTCTCTGGTTTCTTCATTTGCTAATAAGGACATTGATTCCAGCATAGAAGTTTTAATCTTATGCACCCTTCTTTATGTTCTGGATCCTTAACCAATCACTAGGGATGTCTGCATTCAATTCGGGAAAACACGCACATACATATTTCACCCATTCTACTAAGTTCACTATCTTAAGCTGGTAAAGTTTCAATGATTTATAAGGCTATCATCTACAGTATTTTAGAACATGGCCATGTTATGTTGAAAGAAGAAATGGTATGGTGGTTAAATCATCCAGTTTGTTTTATAATAACCAGGGTTAATAACCCCAGTTTCTCCAAATGTTGGCATATAAATTTGACAAATTTTGATTCGCTGGGGTGTGTAACTGTTTACCTGCAAAATGCAGAAAATGGTAAGAAGAATCACATAGCAATCAGTAATCACACATTACAGGTGCTAAATGTTTTCATCATATACAGCTCATATTCAAAACAATATACCAAAATATGTGGGAACGGAGGAGTTCATGTCTTCTAAGATCCCAATTATTCTCCCACAGTAGCTTTTCCAGTGCCACAAACAAACTAAATAATTGAAAAGTTGAAAATGCATTATGTGCAGTATATGAAGTTTTATACTTTGGTTTTTACTTTAGCAATCAGTATTGTCATGCTTTATCCTAAGAGTTATAATTTACTGAAGTGCTTTCTGCAGGCTTTTTCTTCTTAAGGCCCAAGAGATCTCTGTTCTAACATAAATCCTCTTCAGAAATAAATAAGACTATTGTCTGCAGGACTTTCAACATCAAGAATTTCAGATAAACACACATTTATTATTCATATTGTGGCCAGAATGGGATTTGTCTAAATTTTCAGTTTAAAAGCATTTTAAATAGGCATATGTAGAAAATTTTAAGTCAGTATAAATAAGTACTACAAATTATATACACACAAAATAGATAGAGACATAAGTACAGAGAGGAGAAGCAATGGCTAGCATGCCAAGCAATATCTCAGCTCCAGTTGTCTGTACTTGCAAATACCTGGTCTCTTTGTGCTGCTTGTGGTAAGGGTTCCCCTGGGCCTTTCATGCTCAGTTTGAGAAGATGTTGAAGGGAGGCCCAGCTACCCGGCCCTCTCGGTATTGCTATTGCTGCAATGAAACACCATGCCCGAAACACACACCGGGGAGGAAAGGCTTCATTCTGCTTACATTTCCAAATTGCTTTTCATCCTCATTGAAGGAAGTCAGGGCAGGAACTCAAACTAGGCAGGAACCTGGAAGCAGAGGCCATAGAGGGGTGCTGTTTCCTGGCATGTCTCCATGGTTTGATCAGCCTGCTTTTTCACTAGAACCCCCTAGACCTGGAATGGTATCACTGACAGTGTGCTGGGCCCTCCCTAATCAATCCCCAAATAAGAAAATGCCTTACAGGCCTTCCTACAACCTACTCTTTTATTATTATTATTATTATTATTATTATTATTATTATTATTATTATTATT